ATTCACGAGACTCACATTTTTTTTTATATCAATTTTTTAACTATGCGTTTCATCAAAATTTGATTTTCAACTAAACCAAACAGGGCGGGCGAAATTTGAGAATAACAGTAGGTGAGTGGCTGCTTAAGAAACTATGTATATTTTAGTCTTATAATTTTTGGAACGTTATGGATTAAACCCCTATTTGGTGAAATTTGGATTGTGCTTACCCTAAGCTCAAGTACCAAATATTGAACTTTGGGGGCTATAAAATTAAAGATTGCAAAGTGGCCAGGTGTGCAAATTGCAATAGTACTTGTACACTCATTTTCTTCCTCACTTATTTCCTAGATAGAATATCATGTATAGCTCCCCACATTTCTGATTATATTAAAGACATTTCTTCACGTTTCAAAAATATCATTAACCTCTCACATTTCTAGTTTTGAGATTCTCAACGCCGGCACAGGAATTTGGGATGCAGTGTGCGTGATTTGCAGCCTTCGAACCGGTAAGAGATGCAATCCATTATAAATCGTTTCTTGATGATATGGGACCATAAAAATGCTCATCTTGATGAGTATTAGGGGCCTATAATGGAGTATGGCCATCGGTGTTGGAGGGTTGGCCGGAATGGGTGTTGGAACCGTGCCTGAAGGCGTTATTTTTCGGCTGAATTTTCAGTGATTTTGGAATTGTTATGTCCGGTTTTTTGTATGTAATTGAAGAGTGAGATGACGAGATGGTGATGGTGTGGAAATCCGGTGGGTTGCGGACGGTATGGTGGTTGAATTTTGGAGAAGAAGGTGTCAGCTCCATGGTAAGAATTTGTCAATGTTCCAGTTTGGCAAGAAAACAAAAAACCAGATATGAGGTGGGAAATTGAATTCCTTATTTTCATGGAATTGGGGGTCACGTGCAAGAAAGTGAGAAAATCTTTTGCCTCGAAATTTTTGGCTATCAAACAGGTTAAAAAATGGAAAAGTGGAAAATATTTTCAATCTTCCATGGAAAATAGGCCCTATCAAATAGGCCCTAAGGGAAGTTCAGTATTAATAATTTATTCTTAATCGCTAATTATTCTCAAGGTGTTCAGATGGTTAATATGATACTCAAAATTAGAAATAATAGAGGTTATTAATATTTTTGAAAGGTTAAGAAACATCTCTAATATTTTTAGAAATATATATATATATATAAGCCACAAGACAACCATCTCTGGGTTGGAGAATAATTGGAGGAAACTGCCCTCGCGATATAGCTCAGTGGTGCAAAGGACATGGGTGAAGTAGTCTCTGTTGTGTTGACAGTCGCAGTCTGAGGGTTCGATTCCTGCCTCTTACAAGGTATGGAATTGGACTCTTCGTGAACACCAATATGACAGTTCTTGTACATCGGCTTGTTGAGACACATTTCGCAATTTATCTCTTCCATAATACTGTAGGGGGAGGCGATGGAGGACCCTCAAAGTTGGGGTTCAACCTTTAATAATTGGAGAAAACTAATTGTTGGCATCAATGAGAAAATGAAATTCTCTGGTATCGAACTAGAATAATTGAATTTTGGGCAGACAATATGGCGTAAAGCTAAAGTTTTCACCAAGAATCCAATAATTAAGCCCACAAACATCACTTTTCCCTATGAATCTTTGCAACTCATACTAAAAGCCAAAGTTTTCACCAAGAATCCAATAATTAAGCCCACAAACTTCACTTTTCCCTATGAATCTTTGCAACTCATACTAAAAGCATCTTCTAGGAGATTCAAGACTCTGCTCCTTAAATTATTTAAATTGATTGATCATTAACATTATAAAAAATAATATATTAAAAAAATTGAGGAGGTATTAATAAATATTTCTTGAAAAAAGCAAAATTAATAACCAAATTACAAAGCATTGTTGAAGTGTATAAAAAAATTATTCTTCGAATTTAAAGATATTTTTTATAAATAGAGAATATCTTGAAAATGTTCTAAACAAGTTCTATAAAAGTCATACGACTCATTTAATTGAACCTAACAAATGTAGCTACTTAGACTGGTGCTACGCTTTATCACCACTGGTGATAGATAACATTATTCTCTATAAAAATGAGGAAGACCACACCTTTAAAAACTAATTCTTACAATAAAATTTGCCCATGTACATACGCTTATGAGAAACCAACAATCAATAAATTTAGCAAACAAAATCAAGAAGTTACATAAAAGCCACGACTAAAGTCGTATAATAAGAGCTTGAATAAGAGACATCCTAACATAACATAAACTTTTGATACTTAAAATATCGTATATCCATCGTGGTACGAAATAACTTTATCTATCTCATTGACTAGAATAGCCAGTAATGTTATTCATCTAGGACCATCAACAATATATGTGTCGTATAGTTACACGATTGAATATTTTGAATTGACTCTTATCCTTGCATTTGAGAGGTTTAAGAACTTAGGGTAATGATATGTAACACCAATAGCACCAATATAGGTATTTTTAAGTGATAAGTCATTTTAAGTGTGACTCATGTCCTTATTTATAATATGATTTATATATTAATGTCTCATAAATGTTGCCAAATAACATTAATTAATCACTTTATATTATTTAATTGACACATAGACTGCTGACCATTATTCTTTTTTGGGTGGATGGGGTCTTGGTTAGTGGAGGGTGGGAGTGGGAGTGGGAGTGGGGTGAGGGTAGGGGTGGTGTTTACAGCCATCAGAATCACGAGGTCTAATATTCAAAAACTTGAAAGGCAATGTTGTTATCCTTGTCCACTTGATCAGTGTGTTTATCTTCTTGAAAAAGATGGCTTACTAACCATTGGTTACTAACTTCATTTGTTTTTATCGAAGAACTCGTTAAAGATTGTTTCTAACAAGGATTGACTTTGATAGATTATTTTTTTGGCTGAGATACTCAACAATATAAAAAAGAATAGTAAATCTTATTCATATATAGCTTAACAAAAAAAACCTATAGTTCCTTGTCAACAAGAAAAACATTTAACTAATACTAGTATTAACAGTACAAGGAGCCATCCACATAGTTGGAACCATGTTTAGGCAGCACGAACATGCCTTTACTTTATTACAGAATTCATGTAGTCGAATAACAAGTTTAGGGATGTGACATCATGTCAGTCTTTTACTTTATCACGGATTTCATGTAATCGAATAGACAAGTTTAGAGATGTGACATCACACCAAATTGATAATGTACAACTGACCAAATTGAACAAACATTAAGAAGGTTATATTATTTTTTCATTATAAAATGAGGAAATTTGCCTAACATATATAGGACCAAATTCCAGTTGGAGACCACCACCAAACAAAGACAGAATAACATGAACCAATTTGTCTAAAACACCTCCAAATGATAATATATCACAATAGAAATAAGTAAAATAATGGATGCTGGTCTCATAATTTCCAGAGGATGGTCGTCTCTGCGATCATGGAAGTGACAACATACGGATCCATATTTCTGTCTTCAAAATAACCTTTGCCAGCTTTCTCTGTGTCCCGGCCAACCCTGATTGAAGCTCCACGATTCGTCACGCCCTGTAAAGACATGAGCATTTGTGGACAATCATCCTATGCAAATGGCAGGTAAAAAACACAGTTTGGCTACATGAGTTTGTTATCTCTAATCAATTTGTTGCTAGATGTACTGGATTATCAAAGCAACTGGATTCTTAGCAACTACCGACGACATGTTAGTTTGGCTCTACCCCTCGTTTGAGCAAGAACTATTAGTCAAATTACAGACGTTAACCAACCATCGATCCAAAGAGACTGAATCAGAAGCATTTACCCATAAGAAGGTGTTGATGTCAGCAGTTTCGTGCCTTCCTGTGAGACGACGTTAATTGCCTTCTCCATAGGCAGAAATGTGTTCCTTGTGCTTTAACCCAAGCTTGTCAATGGCGGCTTTAATAACTTCAAATGCTCTATCACTTCTCATGGACTTGGTACTGAACAAAGTATATATGAACCATTAGACAAAAAGTTAAAAAGGGGCTATGAATATGAGCATATGCAAAAACTAGATGGAAAAAAAGAATTTTTATGAACTTTAACCTGTAGTGGGTGTGAGCACCAGCTCCATTCCAGTCACCCTGACATAGAAAATGCATTCGTTCATGAATTAAAGCAAGTGTCCACAATGTTAGGTCATGATATTAAATCTTTTTAGAAAGTGTAAATTTATTGTGATTAAAAAAGAAGGTGCAAACGAAGAGAAATCTTAATTGCAAATGTCTTAAAACCGGAATAGGCTTGGGATCAAAAGAGACAACCACCCCGGCAATCTCTGTTATCCTCTGTCCACACAAACACAAATAACATGTTGTAAGTTGCATTTGAAAGTCAAGGGTATGCAAAGTTTAAGCCATTCCGACTCCAAGAGGCAATAAATACTTGGGCAGACTAATGGAAGTACCTCAAGAATATAGCGGGACACCCATACTTGATCTCCTGCAGAGATGCCGACTGATGGACCAACTTGGTATTCCCACTGTGCCATGTACCGAAAGGAATGGAACAACCAGGTAAAAATTAAAAAACCAGATGTAATTGCATTGGTAGAGGAAAGTTCAACTCATAAAATTCAACCCTTTTTACCTGGCCAGGCATAACTTCTCCATTGATGCCACCAATGTTTATGCCAGCATAAATACATGCTTTATAGTGAGCATCAACAATATCACGTCCAAAGGCCTTATCAGCACCAATGGGACAATAGTATGGTCCCTATTAATCAAGCACAACATGCATTAAAATATTGATTATGGGAAATATAGGAGGCTAGACAATAGAAAATAGGGGATTTTCCTACAGGTTATAATTAGACTAGACGAAAGTTATGCAGTGGAAAACGCCATTAGCGATACCTGAGGTCCCGGGAATCCTCCCACTTGTTTTTTGCAGCATTATACCTCTTGTTTGTTGGAATTGGTTCTCCGGCCGGAGTGTATGCATCACACATCACCTATGTATACATATCGAAAGCAAAAAAAGATATCTGAATGACAATAAGAAAGATTAGAAGATTGTACTAGGCAGAAAAGCACTCACAAGTATGTGGTTTCCTCTCCTGAATGGATCAGGGAATATTGCCTGAGGACTAAATACAAGTTGAGAAAACTAATATTAATCCACTTAGGAAACAAATAATTCATGGAAAAGAAAGTTCCTTCCAAGAAAATATACTTATGAACGCGAAGGGACAGGTGAATAAAACTTACTACAGAATGACTTCACTGTCCTCACCAGGGGCTTGACCTGTGCTAGAACCATCATAGTTCCACTTGGGAAGCTGTGAAGGATCAGTGACTGGTCCAGAGACAGTCTGAATAATAGAATTATTAACCAAATTTCATGGAGAATTAGGACAATAAAAGACAATACATTTCTATGCAACCGTTATGGCTTGCTCGACTGACTGTACCCAACAGTATTAAACAAGAAAAAAGAGTTAAATTTTTCTCGATTATACTATTTAGTCATGTCAAGTACTACTTCTAATTTAAGAACAATTACCCTGGCTTTGCTTCTGAGGTCCATCCCAGATCCACCAATCCTGTTCAAAGATTAACGCAAAATATATATACATATCAAAAAAGTCCACTTCTTGATGAATAAAACAAATACCATAATCAAGATAATGCAAGAAACAGAGAATCAGAAAGATTCAAGAGTTCCAAAGTTCGTGGAAATTATTACACACGCGTCAAGAAAGTGATTCATGGTAAAAAAAAAGAAAAAAAGCCCATTAATAAAAATCAAATCAACTTGCATGTACATTAATACATACGTACATGGGAAAATTACACGGGAGCCGGTATTTGAAGATTACTATTTATAAATCAGGTGATAATTATATATTTTAATATTAATATTACAATTAATCAAATACACCCAATTCGTTCCAAACCCTAATCATTTTTCCATATATTTTCTCTCTCTATCCTCTCACTTCTCTTTATCTTCTCTCCCTTCTCTCTATTTTCTCTCCCTTCTCTCTATCTTCTCCTTCTTTCTCAACAGTAGTGGCGCCGCCCTGTGCACCGAAGCCACCACCGTCGAAGACCACCGCTCACCATTGACAATCCACTGTCGAACTCATGGCGACGATCTAGCAGCTCGAGCACCTGTCGTAGGGGCTACTGTAATGAAGAGGCGGCGATGCTGTAATGAATAGGCGAAGTAGATCCACCGTCCACCCACTCAGGCGGGTTGCTATAATGAAGAGAAGAAGCAGTCCACCCACTGGAGAGGGTGGGTTTGAATGAAGAGGAGAAGCAGTCCACCTTCCACCCACTGAGGAGAAACAGTCTACCCACTGGCTAGTTGCTGTAATGAAGAGGCGAAGTAGATGCAGCATTGGGGTGGGTGGGTTTGACTGGTGTTTTAAGCTCAATTCGGGTGGTGGTGATTTTGTGGGTTTGGATGGTGTTTTGTGTGGTGGTCATGGTGATGGCGTTTGTTTGGTGGATCTAGCTGTTGTGGAGGGTTTGGATGGGTTTTTGTGTGGGGGTGATGGTGTTTGTGAGGTGGTGTGTGGTGATGCAGCAGGTGTTTGTGGCGGCGGCAACGACAACGATGNGGTGATGGTGTTTGTGAGGTGGTGTGTGGTGTTGCAGCAGGTGTTTGGGGTGGCGGGGGCGACGACGATGTGATAGTCATGGCTTTGTTTCCGACGATGATGGTGGTGTGTTTCCATTGTTGGTGACGGTGGTTGTGTTGTGGTGGTGGTGGTGTGGCGACGATAGTGGCCGAGTGAGGGTGGTCGCAAGTTGCCTAGTAGTCGTGGCAGTAGTGTTGGTGGTTGTGGTATGTGACCACTATTTGGTGTATGTGACTAATTATTTGATCATCTGTGACCAAGTATGGATGGTGGATCAGATCGGGGTGGGGTGGGGTGTTTCAGTATATGTGACCAACTATTTGGTTCAACTTGAAAATATGTGACCGATCGATAAAATGTGACCTACAATTTTTTTGATTTGTGACCAATAAAATAAACTATGACGTATAAAATTTTTGATTTGTAATCTCGAAAAAATCTGTGACCAATTAATTTGGAAATCTGTGACTGTGTAATATATAAATTTTGATATGTGACTAACTAAATTTCGAATATGTGACCAATCAATTAATTGTGACATACAAAATTTTTGAGTTGTGACCATAAATTGTAAATCTGTGATCAGAATGGTCACCAGAATAGTCTCCGGAATAATTGTTGGAATCAGAGCAGTCGCCGGAACGGTCATCGGAACAGTCGCCGGAGAAGAGTGGTGGTCTGAATGGTCGTCGGAATAGTCACCGGAACAGTATGGATGGTGCATGTGGGATGAGTTAATTATATTATATTAGAATTAAATATTTAATAATAAATTGATTTAATAATTCGTTATTTCATAAATAAAAATAAAATAAAAAACCTGATTTTTGAATTTTCAAACTATAAACCTGATTTTTGAATTGGTGTAAAGAATACACTTTATTTATGAATTTTTCCGTACATACATACAAACAAGAAAAGCCCACAAACACAAAGATAACATAGAATTAAAACCAAGCATCAAATGAATAAAGAATGATTGCAGAAAAATAAAATCTTGATAAAACTGACCATATGTATTCAACAATGGTTTTCTCAGTAGTTTCAGAAAGGTCCAAGTAGATGAGATCGTTGAGCAGAGACATATTTGTATAGAAACCAAAATACTACGAGCCCTTTTTGTTTTTCTTGATTTCTTTTCACTCAGTTGGAGGAGGCGCCAACTGTTATATTATGGAGAAACGTGAATGGACAATGCTAAATTGGGTTTATTTTATAGACATAAATGGGATTCAAGACATATAAATTAATTAAGTAATTAAAATGGAGAAAAATTATCAATTATATTATGGCATCTTGTGCATTGAAGATTATTATTCAGCGTTATGAATGGTAGGCGTTGATCTAAATAAAAATACAATGGATGGCGCTAGTCTGGTATTGGTTGGTATTGACTTGTTTCATCCAATTAAAAAAGAATATGATATAATTTTTGAATTTATCTACTTGTACATTATGGATGCCATAAAGGCATCCATGATGCACAAGTGGAGGCCTCTCATTGGAGCCTCGGCTGACGCAAAGCACCTCTCATAATTTTTATGCAGAGTATTGAATAAAACTCGGCACTATAATAAATAAAATTATAAGTTATTTTTCTTCTTGAATTATAATTCATATAATCTAATCTAATCATTTTTACTAAACATATGATATTGATTTGCTTAATCATTTCCTTCTTTTTAAAATATTTCTACACAATTAAAAATGGTTTTCTTAAATATTGATAACAATGATAGTGACACACTTAAGGAAGCTTTCTTGAATCCATATTTTTAAATTGAACAATTTTTTTATTTTCTGTGGAGTGGATTGATCGATACTGGTGATCCAATTGGAGAGGAATCAGTAATAGATTCCAAATTAGAGAATATTGAGTGGACACCGAGTCACCCCAGTGTCTGACCAGGAAACACAACAGAATAGATTAGGTTCCTTACGTGGCAGACTCCTACATAACTTTGGCATATGTAACATCGATTTTGCTACATGTACACCTAGTTTGACATCCTGGATGATATTCTCTGATAAAAAGACATAAATGCCCTACTTCTATTATCTA